CCTCCTCCTGTTCTTCTTCGTCTTCTTTTCCTCTTCTTTTTCTTCTTATTCTTCTTCGTCCTTCTTCTTCTTCTTCTTCTTCTTCTTCTTCTTCTTCTTCTTCCTCCTCCGCCTCCTGCTCCTGCTCCACCTCCTCGGAAAAGGACATATTCTGCCTACTCTGTCTGGTTTTATTATTCGGAGGGCAGAGTCTCGCTAGCTACGTCTAGTCCGCACTGCATCGAGCCAGTTAGCGAGCGACTAAAACTGTGTCCCTCTCTGTTCTTGTATCAGAGGGCGGATATTTCGGGCTGTCAGAGTGAGTAAAGTCACTCTGGCGGGAGGGTGACGAATATTGTTTTTAGTTGTCTTGCTTGGACTGCGTGTGTTACGTCGACTTCTTGAGCCAGCATTTTAGGGCCCATTTTTAGTCTCAAACGGCTGTCTAAATATGACCCATCGAAAAAACATATTAAGAAGGCGGGCTAATCCGAACCGCGCTGGGGATCACCTCTGTCGTCCTGTGTTCAGTCCTTTGTTTGTTGGGATTTGGGGTGGGGAATGGGGTCTAGAGTTGGATGTAACTAAGTAGCTATGATAACCGAGCGCCAGAACCAAATCAAGACAGCTGATGCTGAGACTGATCGCATCTACTGACCAAGCAGAAAGCTCCGTCTGCGCATACCACGGTAGGGCCAGCTTCTTCTTACTGCCCAAACAAGACTGCACGCACAACTTCGTCCCATATGGAGACACACCAACCACCCTCTTCTGTCTTAGCTTACCAACCGAAGACGTTGTCGGCTTGTGACCAATGCGCCGAGCGCAGCCTCATAGAGCCACACTTGAGAGGTGAGCGCAATATAGGGCAGGGTGGAATGGCCATCTAGTGCAACAAACTACTCAGAATAGCTACGATAGCGTCTCCCCATACCTAAACAAAGGAAAACAAATGCTTTTTAGCAGACATTGAGGACTCGACTCATTTGCCTCAGAATAAATTCTGAATCCCGGTAGCTGTTACACAGTGCTGGCAAGCATGACTCCAATGAGCATGCTGGAGCGGTAGCCATTGAAACCAGAAGGACAAATGGATTCAAGGGGCATGCCGGGAGCGCATTATTTCCTGGCTCTTTAAAGGTGGTGGAAGTAATTATGAATGCGAAGCATTCCTACTTTTCCCCGCCTGTGTTGTGTCAGCAATAGCTGCTTCTATCTAGGCGAATCCCTTTGCCGATTCTAGCGTATCCCTTTTGATCTCTTAGAGTTGATTGAAATCTACGGCATCGTCCAGCGCATACGCATGGCTAGCACTCTGTACAGTAAGTAACATTTTTTCGCCTACGTTTACCGAAGTCCTATAAGACTTACCCTCGCACTTTAATACAGACACCATTTCGATCCCTTTAGTTCAACAAGTTGCATAATGTATTCAGATGGAAATGTGCCTAGCGATAAACATCCTGACTCATTCCTTCTTGATTGTGAAGGACTCAACTGGTGAGGGCCGTCGTAAGATTAAGAAAATGGTTTGGAGACCGATCCCCTTTTCTCGGAAGAAATTCTCTTCGTTTGCCACGTTCAAACTATCGAGCCGGGCAGAGATATTTGCATCGCCCTTGCGCCAGACCAAAGCGGGAACCACAGTGGATTACCGCACGAGTTAGTCGGGCTTCGCAGAGTCCATGTGGGTCCTTAACCATACGTGCCTATGGCACACGTCAGGCGGAGTTCCACATCCCATAAGTTACTGCGTCCAATCTTATCGCCAGCCCTCTTTACTCGGACACGAAAGTGGGCAGAGAGTGAGAAAGTGTCCTGCGATCAGGGTAGATCAGTAAACACCACCTTCACCCCGCGTCTTCCCGATCGCTGGTTCAGCTGCAACTCGATTCAAACGCCGGGTTCACCAACACCTGAGGTTGGGCTTTCACAGAGTGATGATTCAGATAAGTCAGAAGTTGACATCACAGTGTCTCTCGGCTCCGGCCCCATTCAGCTCAGATTTAGCGCTTAGTCTCCTCATTATAAACTACAAAAGTCTGCTTTAACCTGCTACCTTGGAAGTTGCTTGCTCACGGGCCAACTCAGGCCTCGGATTGAGGGTCAAACTGTGATGGCTCTTTCACGCGACATCCGTATGAAATCCCTCGCTCGCTCCCAGATGTACCCTTTTCCCAGGAGACTGGAATAGAAATTTGCACTGCATAACAGTTGATTATCCCATAATTTCTTTTATGGCCCAGTTTTTGTGTGAGTACGAACTGTTTGTGTGCAATTAGTCCAAAGTAAAAACTGTGAAAGAGGTGCAATGCTTCTAGCGTATTTTTCATCAGTTTGGTCGGTAGACCATGTAGTTCTCATGATTTTTTTACGAGCCATTCTGAAATTTCAGATGTTCTTAACCTGAGACTGCAGTCCACTTTCAAGCAGATTGACAAAGTGTGGTCTAATTTGGCTCATTTTGTGAAAACTGACTCGCACAAGGTAAATTCACTTTTTTAATTCGAGTTTTTCCCCAATTTCTACCACAGCATTCTTTTTCAACTTCACGCATCATTTTCAGCCTCTGAACGTGTTGTCCTACTGTCGTGCTGTGTCTGCACTAAGTGCCTGCTCAAAAAAGACAGACTCGGCTGTTTCGGAATTGTCCCAACAAAGTAAAACTCAATGCGACTTATTATAATTATTCTCTCATTGGCCATCACGATTGCTGCCATAGCCCGCTTCCATACACCTCGACCTCCTGAACAGATGTAGCTCACACATTGCAGTCTACTCCGAGACCATAAGAAATCATTGTCGAGGTGAGGCTCAGTTCGTGAACATCGAAGACCGCTAGACCGAACATCTTCTCCAGGATTGCCTTAACCATAACACCACCCTTCCGGTTGGCTTCCATGATGGCTACACTAAGTCAAACGGTGGTTCAGTAATTTCACCTCATGGACAGGTTTCGCCGGGTATCGAATGAATGCCTGAGCGGCTATCTCCGACGTCAACCTTCCACTGCATCGCGAGTATGCAATCCCTAGCTGGCGGCGAGAGTTCATGTTCTAACCATCATCAACCGGCGCCGTGTTATTCTCTGGAGGCACCTATTTCACATACCTGAATTTTTCACAGGCTAGTAGTGTTTGGCGTCCATGATTTGCTGCCATGACTCATGACCGTGTTGAACCCTTGTCTTCTGTGAGCCATCTGGACAAGACCACATGTAGTCTCAGAAACGACCGTGCGATTTACATTCAGGTTTTATTGTGCGTTGTATTTCCTCCTGATATTGTCCCGTCAGCAGCATTAGGCAAACAAGGGCGGTTGGCCATGTCGATCCTTTCGTCTTGAATGAGGAGAGTTCTTGCGGGGTTCATTTACAAGCTGGACTGCGAATGGCAGCGGGTTCTTGCTGCGTTCTGTTTCAAGTCGGATTTATAGGAGTCCCTGACAGGTGAATTGCCATTCCTCGAAGGAGTTTCCGAGCAAAACGATGCTATCGACCGCCTAAACTCTAATGACACACGCTACGAGACTCCTCTCCTTTTTAACCCTGAAACACTGGGGACCTTTGTGCCTCTTTTGTCCATATACGACGTTCTACGTCCTTTTTAACAGATTATATCCTCTCCGAGAGTCCCTAATGAGACGCGTCAGCACCAGGTACAATTAATTGATGCTTCACTTGCACATTCTGCTAAGCCCCAAACGCTTTCTTGTAGGCCGCTCTAAGGCGTCTGCTCACACTGCCTGGTGACTCTGCTAACCAGGGGCTTACGGAATTTACGCAGCCGGCTGTCGACGATAAACAGCTATGTGGTGTTTGCGTTACTCCTGTCACCCTTCTCCCAAACTCAATTATTGAACTCGCCGGACATGTCTATCACCCATCCTGCGCCAACCTCTGGGTGAACAAAATTCAACTCTCCCTTCCAGCGCTGTGCCGTCCCTAACTTCCGTCTCCTTGTCTGAATGTCCCTATCTAATCTGTGATATTCGCCCCTCCTTCTATTTGCCCAGTCTCCTCTTGCCTCTATATTTACATTTTTGGTGCAATACATTTTTACCCAACCAGTGCTTTTGTCTCGTTTATTAGGTTGACGGCCTTTCCGTTGCATTTTGGTATTTCCTATATATATAAGCATTCATTCACGCCACAGATGGCGCTCGCTGGTATGTCTGATCTTCTGTAAGTTCTGGCAACAGGCATACTGTGTGCTGTCCGCCGCCTTGAACGTGACATGGCTTACTAAAGAAATCACGCGCGTAGGCCCAACAAGCTCTCTATCGTGATACCTGCTCCCTTCAGCTTCACTTGGCCACCTTTCTACCTACCCTCAGTCTCAGCAGTACTTAACGCTGGCCTTGACATCTTCGCGTCCACCGCAACCCTGCACGGTAGGGCTCTTATCATGCGAGACACAAGCACAATCTGCCGAACGCAACCATAAGCAATTACTGGGGGCAACCTCTTATGTGGCCGATTATCCACGACCCCCATTATTCACTTAGCTATATCAGACTACCTAGGTTAGCGTGCTCCCGCTCTAACATAAAACCTTACCCAGCGCTGGTGACCGGACTGATGGATAGTGCGGAAACGAAACTTCGGCGCGATGGTTCTGTCGGTCCCCTGCTTAGGCCCTGCGAGATGTCTCTCCGCGAAATTGGTCCGAGTAAGTCTAACTACAGAGCGCATAAATCAGCCTGGAAGGCGTAATTTCACCGTTCCCTGTGCTTAGAATTCAACTAGTGAAGTTGCAGAGGGTTTTGTTCGTGGGCGAGTTGTACTTGGATACGACACCGCATCGCAGTTCTCGTGGCAGTGGGGTCGCTTTCCCGACCTATGTCCTCGGCATTGCCAGTTTTTTGCCCTTGCATTCTGTTATCCGGACGACTGAAGAGTTTTACATGTTTCAGGTTTCCTTTTGGTGATTTACGCCGATGGAAACGGCTGAAGTTCAGCCTCGTACCGAAGCAGAGATTGATCCTGGAGTTGTGGAGCGCCTCTCTTCCTTCCTGAAGGAGATAACGAAGGCCAACGAGGTCCTAACCCTCAGCGTCAGTGAACTCTCCTCAATGCTCTTCGTTGAGCTCAACGACCTGGCCGTCCTCTACAGGAATCTAGGCCTTAAACCTCCCAGCGACCTCACCACCGTTAGCGTTGAACAGTGGGTGGAGAAGTTTCTTGCTGCAATCTATCGTGGTGACGTGCCGGCCTCTGCAAGCCCAAGCCCAGAGGATGAGGATCCGAGTGGTGATGAGTCATCTGGAACCGCAACTGACGCCGACGTGTGCGAACGTGATAAGGATGAGGCCACAGGCCAAACCGTCAAGCATGAATCTCCGGCCAAACCTGTCCCCTCTCCCCTTATGTCCGAGTCACCGCCGCCAATACTGACGCAGAAGCCATCACGACCTTCTCTACCCTCATCTCCACCTCCGATTGTACAGAAGTCGGCGGATGAGAGGCCGGTCAAGAAAGAAGAATTGTGCCCCAAAGCCGCCGAAGATGACGATGCGGCCTTCCGCTTCTTCGCTCATCACGTGGGTCAGACGCTGAAGCGGGAGCACAAATCCCGTCTGGGTCAGCCAATTTCGCAAACCTGGTTGGAAGGCAAGCTGCTGGAGAAGTGGAACTCCCTTCCGGAGACCGAGAAGGCCACCTGGGAACGTGCCTCAAGGCTCTCGCGGTGATGTTTGACTGGCCGCTCCTTGTCTGACTGCGAATGTCTTCACCACCCACCCCTCCCTCTTTTACTTCGATGTAAATATGCAATAAAAGCGTCTCCCGTCTCTTTGCCTCTCCGTTTTTAGCGTTGGCACCTGCATTCATTGTTCACGCTGATGCACCCCATGAACTCGGTCTGCCTCCCCGACCTCTGGTTGCACTTGTTACTAGTTTTACTGTTTCCTTGCGTTCTGATGTCTCACTTCTGCAACGGTCTGCCGACCTGATTTCACAAGCCCGTGCTATTAAGTGTAGATGGTGAATTCTGATCTTTTCGAGAGCCGCCTTAGCCTCCAACCGCATGCCTTGCGCAAAAGGGCTTACTAGCACCGTAGTCGGAGAACTTGTTCAGAAGCTAGTGCAGTGAGTGTCGTTAGCGCTTGTTGTTCACTTGCGTCTTGGAGGTCGTGCTGAGCCAAATTTTGATGACTGAGTGTTGTAGTCCAACGACTATCGAACATCGCTAGCCTTACTAGCTTGTCAGTTGTACGAGCTACTTCTCCCTATCTAGCTACTTTTCAGCTTACACCGAGACCTTAGTCTTAGATATTTGGTCGGTTAAACCTGAATCTCCCGAGTTTACCAAGTAATGCACGAAGTGTCAGACGGAAATTCCAACATTCACCACAATCCCTCCCGTCGAACCTGCTAAACTTGATTTGCTGAGCGGTAGTAGTTAATGGTTATAGCCACGAAATGTGCCGACAACTGTGTCCTGTACATTTCGTTGCATCCTTTATTAGTTTTCCCTGTTGAAATCACTAGAAAGAGGCAGTGAAGTGACATCGGGAAGCCCCTAATGCTGTGCTTACATCAAGAGGCCTTTTTGTCCAATAGATATGACGAGGAAGAGGTGGTCATAAACTCAACAAGTCTATTATTGGTGCATCTGACTTTATCTTAAGTTGGTGATCAGAGATTAAACAATATTAAAAGAATTGTCGAAATCCGGAACTTGATTGATTAGAACTGTCTAGACCTTGGTGACGGTAGCAGAACAGCGTTTTGTGAGCCTGGTCGCGGTGTGCGTTAAACATTGATCCGCGAAACGTCACAGACTACATGCAGGCGGAGGACACGCTCTGACAAGTGCCCTCCCTCATGGCAATGCGGCGCATGGCTCGCTACAGTAAATGTGACGCGCTTAAGCCTACCACGATACGCTAGATGTCGTCGAAGGCTGCCAGTCGACGGGATGCCCCGCTCATCCTTTGAAATGAGGGCCAGACGGAAACGGTTCCTTGATGTTGCCCTTGCGGCACCTGTCATTTCCACGAGGCCTGAGTCCGTGTGTGCCGCGCTGGATACCGGCTCCACTTCGACATCATCCCCAGTCGGCCTGACTCGGACAAGCAGCTGGGAGATTGCAGAGCTGATGAGCTCGGCCCAGATCAGCGTAAACGCTTAGTTCTCTCACTGCAAGTGTACAGACGCACTTTGAATTAACTGTGACGAGCTTGTACCTGTCCTCTGTCACGGTCGTTAGGGCCTTCGTCTACCAATGCCGCCGTCGGTCGGCCTGGCACGTCTCTCAAGCCCCCGTACGCGCGTGTGTCTCAACCATCCCCTCGTCAACACCGTGTTGCTTATCAATATTTTCCTCTATCTACTGGTCATAGCCTCACACCCCGCGTGCTCGGGCGAACAACGTGAACGGCTGACACGGCGGACGACGACTTTCACATATTATCTGCTGAGCTTCTCGTACGCTTTCTGAGTTGTGATCTCTAAACCTGCGGATTGTGGATCATCGTACTTCGACAAGCTTACGGTCGCGCCTTGAAGGGCTGTAGATGACTGAATAACTCGGTAAAACTTGGGATCGAACTACAATGGCTCCCTTATGTGGCCTTTATGGCATTCATTTACATGTCGTCGTAGGTTCGTTTGCTGAAGTCTGATGCACCTTGAGGGTGACGCTTCATGTTTTCATTACTTCAACGTGGTAAACGAACCATATCCTGCTTATGTTCCTGGCGTCTGCCATGATAGCAAGCCATGGCCCTCGCAGCCCGATGTGCCCTGACAGTTTTATGGCACCTGGTTCCCTACTGGTGGATGACCTTGTGCTCCCGCTGCGTATACAGGTCGTGAGCATGGCTGCATAGCCATCCTCGTCCTCCTTCTGACCTGTTGAGGTGCTGTTGTTGTCGGTTAAAATCCCGATCTAGTGTTTGTCGTAGACCAGGGAGTGTGGTGGTACGCCTAGGTGCGGGTCCGGTCGTGCCAGCCAACTGCGCCCGCCCTCACCCCCGGTCTTCTTGACTATGTCTCGACACTGGGACGAGGTATGGAGGAGAGAGTGCGGTAGACACTGCGCAAGTCTACCCACAATAAACTTATTCACGCGTAAGTCACCATGCTGTGGAGCACACGATGGATATCATAGGGCACGACGGTTGGACTATCATTTTTGCAGCCAGGCATAGGAAAATCAGGCTTAAGGTTAGAGTTCGGTTAAAGATTAGGGTTATGGAAATGGTTAGGGTTAGAGCCAAGTTTGCTTGTCGCATACCGTTTTACCTGGTCTGGCCTCTAACAAGTGACTTGGGGTTATCTGTTTTCCATCCGTTTACACGCCGTAATTCGCATCTTTCACTTTGCGTGGTGTGTTCCGGCACCTCGTTGAACGAACATATGGCAAAAATGTTTTTCATTGCCTTCTGCCGATCTCGTTATTCGTCATGCCCATCCGCCCCACCGATAAAATTAATATTAACATTCTCCCATATTACAAGAGTCTACGTGCTCTATTTTCCCAGTGGGCATGCATATCCAATTTTCGCCCTTTTATTGATTGCCCCGGTTCGCCCATGTATAATTGTCAGTGCAAATACTGAAGTATGGTTATATCCGGTGCTAAGGGCGGTCTTGGGATGTAATGAATCCCCACTGTCGAAGGACTTTATGTTCGCGCAACCTCATTACCACTCCCCGTTCCACTGGGTCCCTAGATTTGTCGGTGAAGTGTTTCCACTGAATGAAGTATAAAACATGAGATGGAGTTGTCAGTAACTCATGCGCCATTTGAAGTCTATCTTTTTAGAAAGTGGTAGCACAGAACATGCTAGGACACATAACTTGTCTGATGGGGGAGAAGTCTTGTGTACCAATTAACCAAGCCCACCGTTAAGATAATTGTACCTCGTTCATGAACCGAATTTGTAGTCGGAACTTCAACTCCATGAGTTCTTAACTCGGTTGCTGTTTTGAAAGTCAGCTGTCACAACCAAGATTTCAATCATGTTATATTTAGTTTATGTTTTCGGCTATTTGCCGCGACTGCGAGGATTCCATTCGTCTCCACTCTCCTTTTCTTTTTTATGGATTTCCTACCTTTAAAATAAGTATATAGATGCATAGTATGCCATCTGAATGATCTAGAGGAGACTGGGAGTGTTGCAATCATCCGAGCAACCGGAAGTCTGTCCTAGTCTGGGCAAGTTCAAAGTGTATTTAACCAGTTTAGATGCTAGGAAGACCTGACGCATGCAGTCTGGCCTGTAAACAAATAGTTAAGATTAAACCTTTCATGGGCCGGTACAAGCTGATAAAACACAGATCGACTCAATTCGAGTCTATGAGTTCGTGCAAACCTCCCCCAGGCCACTTCGAAATGTGTATAAGCATTAAGGTTGAAGGCTATAAATTTGGACGGACTGACAGAAAACGCCCACTCCTGCCTTATTCCCAAAAAGTGGAACACACATAAAAAATTACGTGAGGAGCGCTAGAAGACCGACTGGTGAGTCGAACCTCCCGTAGTTGTGCCGTGAAACGGCGAAAAATTGGCGGCAGACTAGTTGTTTTGCCAGCACCTGAGTTGACGGCGTGGTAAAGAGATTTCTACGTGCAATAACCTATTCGAATAATTATCGCTAAATCCTCCCGCTGACCACCTCCTCGGGAAGGAACAAATTCCTCGCCAGCGGTCACTGCGGAGACTAAAGAAGCAAAGTAAACCGCGTTTTCTGTTTTAGAGGCGCAAATAAATCGATAATATATGGTTTGGTAGCCCCACCTGATGGGCACAGTACTTTTGGGGTTGGAGTTAGGGCTAGGGGTTAGGACTTATGATTAGGGGTTATAATTGGGGATTAGGGTTAGGCGTTAGCGTGACTATTCCTTAACCATTCGAAGTACTACTGCGCATTCCCCATAGCTTTTATTTTGCATACAACTACTTGGCCTCGTCTCCTGTGCGTTTCCCGGTCCCGCATTAGATGTGACTGGGGTTTACTTACTTTAGGTGCGACTACATTACCACACCCAACCATTAATTAAACCGGTTTTTTTCGTTTGTTTGTCAAGTTCCAAAAATGGCGCTTTACGATAAAAATAACGGTAACGAGAGTGACAGTCAGCTGCGTTCCCTGGGACTAAATATCGGAAGATTGGAATCAGACTTGAAGAGAGCTGTACGATACGAGGAACGTCACTGGAACGAGAACGATGCCAAGATTCGGGCCGTCGAACAGCGCGTTCCCACTTACGAGGATTTCAGGTAGCCATATTTCTGTATTTACCTGTTACTAGCACCCAAACTGCTTTAGTGCGCAACAGTGTCCCACCATCTTACCTAGCAGGAAGGTGAGGGTCTACATGAGAACTTCTTATCAGAAAGCGGCATTCAGGCTCTGTGTAATACCCTACCGAACTGGCCTCTTTACGTCAGTTCTCGCTTTGTTGGAAATCACCCATGGAGATGGTCATGGTATTGATTCCTTAGTCCGGCAATTTGAGGTTCTGATTTTAAAGCAAATTTGTGGAAGAACAAGATGTCTCTTAGCCTAGTCCATTCAAAGAAGAGTCACAGTTATTTGAATATGACAGTTCGGTCATCGTGCCCGACGATGTTGACCGTGTGCTCCACAGCATGGTAGAAGCAGGCACGGTAACTTGTACGTGAAGTAGTTTATAGTGGTAGTACACTTGCACGGCATCTACCGTACTCTCTCATCCTCCC